CTCTCTGAGTTTTTATTAATCACGCTTCAACTAGGCATGAGCCATAAGCCATTCTTAGTATCCCCTCCACTCCCTTTTCTTTCTTTACCCTCTTTTTTTCCCTTCTATCACTGATACCCTATCTCTCTCCCTTCCCATTTTTTTTTCAGGGAAGGTCTCCTGTGTCTCAGGATGCCTTCAGTCTGGTGGTCTGGATTAGAATGGCCCCATAGGCCCATGCATTTGAATGCTTGGTCATCAGGAGCGACACTATTGAGAAGGATCAGGAGGTGTGGCCTTGGTGGAGGACGTATGCAACTGTGGGCGGGTTTTGAGGTTTCAGAAGCACGCACCAGGCCCACTGTTGCTCTCTGCCTGCCTATGGATCAGGATGAAGAAATGTCAGGTACTGCTCCAGCACCTGTATGCACACCGCCATGCTCCCCACCACGATTATAATGGACTAAGCCTCTGAAACTGCAAGCGAGCCCCAATGAAATGCTTTCTCTTAAAGAGTTGCCATGGTCACGGTGTCTCTTCACAGCACTAGGACTGTGACTAAGACAACTTCGGATCTCCCTGCCTCCAACACCAGAGTCTGCCATCACAGCCGGGTTTATAGTGCTGGGGTCACACAGCAGAGGGCTCTGCCCACCCATCCTGTCCTCAGCACCCTGTAATAGACTCGCTGCTACTCTGACAGCCACAGTGGCCCTGTGAAACCCTTCTCACCCCCACAAAACTGAGCCCAAAGCAACACCTCAGACTTAGTATATATATCCAGGCAAGCTTCAAGCTCCACCTATAGTCCACCTATTAATATCAATTAATGAGGCAGAGGTAATAGGAATCCCATAACTGTAGGCAGGTGCTGCCTTCTGAGGGTGTCTGTTACAATGGAGGCAGAAGGGAAGTGTAAGCCCCTAATCCAGCCTGGTGGGTCATAAGCCTCCTCCACGCCATAGCAATCTGCTTAGGTTTATGAGCGACTGAACCTTGACATCTCGGGGAAGGGGAGGAAGACTGCCTCTCGGCCCCACAAACTGCTCATCTACTCACAATGCACTTCCCCGAGCCGTCCTGGCAGCGATTTGAATGTCCATTGCAATTGCAGGGGACACATCTTCCCGCGGGCGAGCTTTTGTTGTCCCGATAGTATCCAGGGCGGCAACCCTATTTTTCAAACAAAAATGTTTCATCAATGCAAAGAAAAGAGAAGAAATGTTTCCTAAAGTTCATCGCAATTCTGACTGTGGAGAAGTCAGGGTTTCCAAACCTCTCCCCAGGTGCTGTGTAGATTTCTGATATCAACCACCAGCCAGCTAGTTTGCTTCTTGGTAAGATTGTGCTGTGTCTTTGGGATGGTGGGAAGTGGGCCATGGGCCCCTCTCACACACCAGTTGTTTTGAAGGGGTTGAGCATGTGGAAGTGTGGGAGTAAAGAGGAGTAGGCCTCCGGTCCCTTCTGGGGTTAAGCCAGACAACCCAAGTCCAGCAAGTACCTCACCCCTCCCCATGTACAGGTTCAGATTCATGGGAGGGGGTGGAAGGGACATACAGATTCTTCAATGAAGTCCATTTAATAATGGTACAATTACTGAAATCATTTCAGCCACACTCACTCCCCACTGGTCAGCAGGGAGCCTGGACAGAAGGCAGGTGTTGAGTTCTCACATGTGAATACAGAGACCCAGCCCAAGAGTGTCTCTGGTTTTGGTCTTGTTTATATATATTTGGGTTTTGAGACAGGATTTCTTTGTCTAGCCCTGGCTGTCCTGGAACTCACTCTGTAGACCAGGCTGGCCTTGAACTCACAGATCCACCTGCTTCAGCCTCTACCTCTGCGTGCTGGGATTAAAGGTGTGTGTCACCACTACCAGGTAAGAGTTAATAATTTTTTTCCCATGGACTTACATCTTGTTTAAAAGATTCTGTTAAGAACTTTCCAGCAGGCCTTTAATCTTAGCATTTGGAAGACAGAAGCAGGAGGATCTTTATGAGTTCCAGGCAAACCAGTGCTACAGAGTAAAACCCTGTCTCAAAAAAAAAAATCCAACAGATGGCTATAAACCAGTGATTTGATTCTTACACACTCACTAGAATCATGTGGAGTTCTGCCTGCCTTTAAAAAGGATTATAGGCAAATAACCTGGCAGAGCCAATCCATGCACAGCCCAACACTGGACATTTCTCCTTGTTTGTAGTTCTGGTCCCCCAGATCCTCATCTTTAAAGGACCAGGAAGAATTAATATCCCAACCCCACTGGTGGATGGCAGCATACAGCATATACACCCATAAGACTCAGAAATGGCAGTCAAGGCAAAGCTGAACAGGCCGGTCTCACTGCCCGTGTCCACAAAGGGAAGAAGTGTGGGATCTTGTGCTGCCCAGGGCGGGGGCCTCTCGGCTCCTGCCAGGATCTCCTTCCCAAATGGCTGATGGCCAACAGATCATACAAACTGCACAACACTATTTCCAATATAACACTCCTTTACGTGATTAGGAATCATGTTGAGGCAAAGGGATATATTGCAATTTTTTTTTTACTTCAAGGCTCTATATGAACAGGCTTGTTTAAAGGAGAATCAAAGTATGAAAGGAATGTTCTGGGCTGATGGCTCAGCTGAGAGACATGCCTGAATGAAATCTTGCTGGGGACCGTGTGACCGTATCTACAGCAAATCAACTGAAGTGTTAACTGGTAAGCCTTACCTACATCATGTCACTTGCTCAAAATAATTATATTTGGTAAGGAGCAAATTATTCAAATGAACGAATAAGTCTCGTGAGTTGAAGTCACCATATTTGGACAAAAGCTTTAATTATACCTGCTTTGGCAAAAAACAGTCTATCATGATCGAAAGCAAAATGAGCCACCTTAATGTGCTTTTAATTACAAGCAGGAAAAATGCTCTGCCCAAGTGCCAGGTCATGTGACTCGGAGACTTATGACTCAACTGTAACCATTTCATGCCTCCACAAAGCGAGCAACGGCATTTCACAGAAGCACACGAATCCTATGAAAGACGGGAATGCCTGTGTCCTGAACTGCAACAAAGACACTTAGACGTGACAAAGCCGCACTTTTAAGGATGAAATCTCCAGCGACGTTTTATATTATAGGTGATATAATGCCCCATCCACTTCCTGGGCCAATTTCGTGAGCCACAGGCTCTATTTCTCTGTAAGTATACACGCAGGGCATGTGAGGCTTTAGCAGAATTCATGAATGGTTCGTGCCTGGCAAATCACAGCATGTCCGCGAGGCACTGTACAAACTGATCGCTTTTCTCAGCCTTGGCTCTTTTTGTTCCTCATGTTTTACTTTGTGGGTAAATTTTCTTCAAGTGAAACTTGCGAGTCTCCAGCAATAGACCCGCGTCCCAGGCTTGAGCTAGCTCCTACAGGGAGCTAATTAATGGCAACACCAATATTCCACAGCATCCAAGCTCTTGGCTGTCCAGGCATTGCATGGTGGGCTGATGTTTATGGGGCTCGTGGTTAATAACTCGAGAGCAATCAGTACAGCCCGGCAATAAACCCTGCCACTCACCGCAACCGGGAGGCTGCCTACCCTTCCCCCCAGCCCTCCCATCTACTCTGTAACACACCATCATAAAATGTCCCCAAGCTGGACACACTTTCCCCATCCCGACCAGAAATTTAAAGGGGCATTACCTGGCTGGGTCTGAGCTCCGTATAACTTGCTTGCAGATGGTTTTGACCTGGACGCTGAAGAAAGGCTACCCTTTGCTGCTCTGAACCATACCCCAGGCACAGGTCTAGAGCCGCCCCAAAGATCCACAGCCATGCTGTGCTCCAGGCTGACCACCTCACTGCAGGGGACATCCTGATTCCTGGGTGTCCTGCCTGGCTGCGCACACAGCTCTATACTCCTCCTCTTATACTGCCTTCCTGCTCAGTGCCCGGGCCTGTCTGACTCAGGGAAAGAAGGCCGTCTGCGGCAGGGGCCCCACCTGTCAACTTCACACATGACTCAGCCTACACAGAGAGAAAAACACATAACCGTTCCACAGGTAAGTACAGCCCTTGGTAATTCCTGCGAGACGGGCAGACGTCACCTTCTACCCACCTGGCCCTGCAGACAGCCCCAGGTGATTAGAAGCAGCTGTAAAGCCTGGCTGAGTTGCTGCAAAGCCACACCCTGACCACAGGGTGCTGATCTGCAGCTCCTCTTTGCCTTGGGCTATCTAGTTTATATTTTAAATCACTTAAAAAAGAGATGGAAGGCATTGGGCTGACTGGAGGCAACCTGTGAGCCGAGTCACAAGAAAAGGAGTCTCCAGGATGCTGTGTAAGGGAGATAGCTTCTGCTTTAAGCAAGGAAGTGAAGACATTTGCTAGTTCATGTACCCAGAACAGCATCGCTGTCTCCCACTAATTTTGCCAATACTGATTCTTGTTAGGAAAAGAACACATGGATGTATGGGTTGAGAGAGAAAGTTTCATTTTGAAGTGCTTCCTAATAAAGTGAGGGTAACTTTAAACAACTCGGACCTGCTAAGAGGTGGAAAACGGGAGTGAGATTTTCCCTTTTGCATCCAGGGAATCCTTGGGATTTTCCTGCACTAGGGAGACAGGGAGACAGAAGGAGGCTCTGGCCCAGCTTACAGGACAAACACTGAGCCTTCCTACCTCTGATGTCTACATCCATGGAGCGCCCATGGTCTCCTTTGAATGCCAAGACAAGGTGCCGTCTTTGACACGTTTTGACTCCCTAAAGATCACCCAGGGGAAGATACACTTGGATGATGGGTAGAGAGAGACCCAGCTGTGCCTGCTGCATTGCTGGACAGCAGCCAGAAAAAGCCAGACATAGATGGGCCCAGGAAATGAGGAATACCACGGCTGGGAAACTTTCCTACCTGACATGAGTCACCTGTGTAGTCAGGGGGACAGGCACACAGCTCCACAAGATGCGCTCTGGGTCCACTTCCTGTGTCGGAGGCCTCCTCCAGCCCCACCTCGCCCAGAGTGAGCCTCTGTGTCTCAGTGAAGTGGAGGCCCCGGATGTACAGTCCTTCCAGGTGGGACAGCACAGTCATCAGCTCTTCCCGGGACACCGGGGCACCGTTGCCAGTGTGTCTGAAGTTCCCCTGCACAGCAAATGGAGAGGCTTCCTGAGGTAAGGTCACTTTCAGAGAGACAGGCCCTGGAGTGGGTCAAATCGAAGCCATTCAGACTGTGTAAGGAAAAAAGAGCCAAAGAAAGAAAGATGAGCAGTCACACCAGGCTACTGCAGGGAAGAGGGTCTCCAAGACCAGTGCCACACCTTTGTGAATGTACTTTAATCTGGGAAAAAATAAGGTCAGTGACAAAGACGCAGAAGAAAAAGCAGCTCCACCAGGTAGTATTAGCTCAACGTGCACACCTAGGACAGCAAACAATCTTTTCTTGCACACATTTTGTTTTATTAATTTGCTGCTTTGTTTGTGTGCTTGGGGTTTTTGTTGTTGTTTTGTTTTCTTTGAGACAGAGTCCAGTTAAGTAGCCTTGGCTGGCCTGGCACTCAGGATCCTTCTACCTTAGCCTCCCAAGCGCCAAGATGACCCGTGTGAGAAACTTCATGACTCTTCGTATTATCATTGCCTGTCCTGGTACTCATTCTGTAGACTAGGCTGGCCTCAAACTCACAGAGATTCATCTGTCTCTGTCTCCTGAGTGCTGGGATTAAAGGTGTGCGCCACCATCGACCAGCTTGTAATTTTATTGTTTTAAAAAAATAGGACATGAAATGTACCATCACATCCATTTCCTTTACAGATTCTGTAGTGCAGTGGTCTGGGCTAAGAGCACAACACTGCACAAGGCTGGAAAACTTGCTCATGGTTGGAAACAGAAACTCCAGGCAGACCCCTCTAGTCATGAAAAAACACACCCTACTTTCAAAGAGCTGGATTATTTTAGGGACCTCATATCGGTGGACTCACACCCTGTGTTTTTTTTGTGACTGGGTACTTCTTATCAAGAAGTTATTTAGCAATGAATTTTCTGCTCATAGCTCAGATCACTGCACTAAGTTTTTTGCACGTAATTTACCCTGTGTTTCTTTGCTTTGTAATTTTTCCATATGGTGTATATGTATGAGTGTATATATGTCAGAGCACACGTGGAGCTCTGGGGACAGCTTGCAGGCACCAGTCCTCTCAGCCGTGTCGATTCCTGGTATCGAACTCAGGTCTTCAGGCTTGCTAGCAGATGTCTTCTCAGCATTCGTGTCACTGAGGGTCACTTGCATGTTCTCTGCATTTGTCTTTCTGCATGCGAATCACAGTGCACTTGTGTGGTCCTCTTTCATCTATCCTATTTAGAGCTTGGGGATCTCTTGATATCTTAGTGACTCTCATCATGTTTGGGAAGTAATTGCTCCTTCAAATATTTGCCTTTCTTTTTCTCATATTTCCATTGTATACATTGGTACACTTGAGCTCCTCCAAGCTTGCATCTTCCTATAAAACCATGAAAACATCATAACCTTGCGGTACATTATATTATAGGTTATGCAGTGGGGGTTTTGAGCGTTGGTCATAACAAAAAGCCATATAGTAACTGGTTTACGCTATGTAGTTTGTCATGGTCCTGAAGTTCCAAGTCCGCATCAAGGTTCTGGCTGCATGAGCTCCTGGCGAGGCTCTCTTCCTGATTTGCAGATGACCATCATCATTGCATCTGTACAGGATGCAAGAAGGCAGTGCTCTGATGTGCTTTGTGTGCTGGCTTATTCGAAGTATTTATGTGTGGCAATCTGCATGTGCATGTATATGCAGGAACGTGTCTCTGGAGCAGAGGAGGGCACTGCACGTCCTACAGAAGGAGTTTCAGGAGGCTGTGAGCCACCCAGTCTTAGTGCTGGGAGCCAAACTCAGAGCCTCTGCAAAAGCAGCAATGCTCTTAATCATTGAACTGTCTCTATCTCTCCAGCACTAGAGAACATGCACTCTCTGTTGTTCTGGGCATGAGAGACGGCTCAGTGGGTGAGAGATGGAGGCGGGAGGATTCCTCAGGCTTGTTTCATGCCAAAGAGAAAGCTTGTCTTAGACAAAGGCGAAACAGCAGCTCAGGAACTACAGCTGAGGTTGTCCTCTGGTGGCCTCCCCCCCCCCACGTGCGTGTGCATGTACACACACACACACACGATAGGGGAAATATTTATAAAAGTGATATAAACAAAAATATGTATGCATCAAACACTCAATGGTGTATTATATTCTAGAGTATGTGGTGGGGTTTTCTCACTGTGTGTGTGTGTGTGTGTGTGTGTGTGTGTGCATGTGTGTGTGCATTTGCATGTGTGATGGTGTTTATATGTAGGTCAGAGGACAAATTTTGGAAATCAGTTCTCTCCTTCTACCACCTAAGTCCTAGGGATCAAACTCAGGTCAGGTTGGCATCCAGCATCTTTACCCATTTGTTTTGTTTGTTTGCTTGTTTTTTTTAAACCATACCACCCCACCCTCTGTGTGTATGTGTGTGTGTGATTTCTCTCTCTCTCATTATATTTATGTGTCTCTGTATAAATGCAATCTGTATTCTTAGAATATTCTTAAGTGAAAATCTTGACTTAACTAAAACACAGAACAAAAAGATCATCAAAGACCTTTTTCTGGAATTTTACCTCAACCATTTGTACCCTTCCATGATGCAGCCTGTCTGGCCGTGGGTCACTGGATTCCGTGTGGATGATGGACATGTGCTGACCCTGTTTAAAGGAAGCAGGTATGCATTAGTGCCTTAGTTGGGATGTTTTGAAGGTAATATTGATGTTAGAACAGATTTCTGTGTTTATCTACATTATATGAAACACCTGGCCCTAAACAGTTCAGAACTGGCTGGGTTAGTGACCTGCACACAAGTGAATAATGGCTATTTTGTTACGTTTTCACACATATGAAAACTACCTTGACCAAAAGGCATTTTAAAATATGAAGAAAGAATAAGAACTGGGGAGATAGGTCGGTGGTTAGGATCACTGGCTGTTCTTCCAGAGGACCCGAGTTCAATTCCCAGTATCCTCTTAGAGGTTCACAACACCTATTATCTGGTCCCAGAGGATCTGCTGCACAGATCCTGTGCATAGACAAACGTGCAGATGAAACACTCACACACATTAAATGAAATGCTTTTAAAAATGGAGAAGAGTATTCATTTTAACCATCCTTTGTAATAAATGTGGGAAGTGCGTTTCATTGCTGCCAACATGATGTGCTTTGGTGGCAGCTTCCTGGAGAGTGCAGTGGTGGAGGAAGGGTTAACAGAGCCTGGCTTTGCAGCTACTATGCTCAGCACACTGAAGAAGAGGAGTTTATAGATGATGGCATGGGCTCAGGGCTCCAGCCCGGCCTGTGGGTCTGGCCACCTTCTATCTAGGTGCCTCTTGGGGGCTTTCTTAGGACTGCACGGGCATGTCCATGCCCTGCATTAACAGCTCCACCCAAGTCAGACATCACAGCCCAGCCGTTCTGTGTCAGCTCCAAACCTGCAGGCAGCCCATTCGTGAGAGCAGAACATTACCTAGGATCGCAGATCACTTCAAACCTTAATCTAAGGAACATGCCCCAAAGGCTCTTAATTACAGAGGTTTAAAATACAACAAAGAAAAAATCCTGTGAGCCTAATGATTTCCGTGTCTGAAGTTAAAATCAAGGGGGGATTTTGGTCATTACCTCCCAGAGCATTCCAAGAGTGTGCAGTTAAGTCCTCTGCAGTAGAGACTGCATGCAACAGTAGCTGCAGCTAGGAGCTGTGCTACAGAAAGCAAAGCAGAAGCTCTGCGTTCCTGCGGGGATGGGACTTTTATCGCATAGCAGCTTTCCTTATGCAACTCTCAGGTCTTTGTTGCTCCATGTGCACTACGCTCTGCTAAAGTTCCTTTGAGTTTTTACCACAATTCAATACATTTGTTTACTGGTCAAAGCAAAAGATGGCTGAGCAGGGCTTGCACACAAAGATCTACCAAGCACACGGGGCCTTTGCCATGAAGATGTGTGTGAGGCTTGCTGGCCCATTTACAGTGCAGGGTGCAAAGAAACCTTCCCGGAAGCTGGAGTTGCCAGCACCCTAGCATCTAAGGCAGAAATGGAGGTGGGGATGGAGCTCTTAGCAGGTGTGAGTTCCTGGGTTACATCTCCAGCAGCCTGCTTCCAAGGTAAGCAAAGGCAGACTTAGCTTCAGGCTAGGACTCCTGAACCCATATTCCAAGGATTTGTCCTGTATTCCAGGGGTGCCATGAAGAATGAATTCAAAATCATTTTTGAGACTAACTTGAAAGATAAAACCATAATCAAACACGAGCCGGTTTCAAAGATGAAATATAGCTCCATTGGGAGGGGAGAGGGGAAGCCCTTTGGGCAGGAGTGCTATGTACTCTAAACTTCATGTCAGTGTCTTCAAATCACAATTCAGCCTAACATTCTGCACAACCCTGGACATGGGCACAGCCCTGGTTATGGGCACGGCTTCCCACTGCTCGGCCCACACCCTAGTACCCACAGTGAGCTGTATATCTGGCTGCTTTTCCAAAGGAACCATGTCGCCAGGTAAGCCAAAGGACTTGGCTTGGTAGGTGAGGTAGCCTCCATATGAGGAAACCTGAAATTGAAAGAACAGTATCAATAGCACTGAAAATGACCAGGCTGACGCTAACCCAGTTGTCTGCAAAGACGCTCTCCGGAGGATGGGGCTAATGCTGCCTTCATCACCTGCTTATGTCATTTTCAGATTCCTGAAAACCATCAACACAAACGTGTTCTATAAGTGGGAATGTACTTTTATTAAAAAGAAAAAGTAACAACCATACTATAACAAACAAGATATTTTCCCTTCCACGATGATGAAATAAAAAATTTGCTTAATCCAAAGAGATTCCAAGAAATCTATTATTAACTGAAAGAAATTGGTTTACCAGTTGCAAAATAAACCTCTAAAAATAAATTTTAAAAAAATCCCTTGAAAGCAGATGGTGACTATTCCCTATGTTGTTATAAATTTTGCTGGAGAGAGAAGCCATGATCACCTGCTACCTCAGAGACACAGGCTGGACCAGCACAGTGTGACCTTGGTGGCAATGTGGCAGTGAACGATCATAGTTTTCTGTTACCTGGGTCCCCTCTGCTCCTGGTCTACCCTCTTTGAAATCAGCTAGGAACGAGGGACTGAGGAGTGTCTGTCAGCAGCAGCATCTCAGCTGAGAACAAAACGCTGCTCGGGGGGAGAGCAGGAGTGCATCTCTGGGGCCCTAGCCATGGAGGCTTCTGCTAGGGCCTGCCCCCTGATAAAGCTTCCCAGAGCTGTGTTCTCAGGGCCTGGAAGCATTTCCATGAGACACATAGGCTCATCTAATTGATTTTAATCACCGTCTTTTTGATAGACCAAGGGTGGCTTTTAAAATATGAACATAAATTCTGAAAGTCTTCTCTAGAGTTGCGGTGGCTTGAAATAGGAATGTTCATCATGGGCTTAGGTATTTGGATAATTGGTTCTCTACTGTGGTGCTGTTGGGGGGTTGTGGAAATTTTAGGAGGTGTAGCTTCGCTGCAGAAAACACATCGCTAGGATGGCTTTGAGAGCGCATCCCTTCCCTACCTACAGCCCTCTCTCTATTTCTCTGTGTGGTTGGAGACACGATCTCTCAGCTTCCTGCTGCCATGCCTCTGCCAAAACAAATCCTTTCTTCTAGATGTTGCTTTTGGTCATGGTGTTTTATTACAGTAATGGAAAGGAAGCTTACACAGGAGAGTTTCATTGTCCTTGCCTTGAGTGTGGGCCCAATTCAGTGACTCATTTCTAACAAGTTAATGAGCAGAATAAAGCAGAAATGAGATTTCGTCTTTTCCAAAGTTGAATTTTAAGATTTTATGACTTCTGTCTTGAGTTCTTTCATTAATTATTGCTATCATTCTTCTTCCTCAGTTTGCAGAAACCAGCCATCATGCCATGAGGGTCCGTGAACAGTACAGGACGATCTCACGTGATGAGTATCCGAAGCTTCCAGCCAGATTTAGCAAGGCACAGAAACCTTCTAGCTCTATGGTAGTGGCCTTAGCAATTGACTCTTCTAGTTCCAAGATGACTAGGCTTGGCTAATGTCTTGACCACAACCCCAAGGAAACTCTGGGCCATTGTCTCCTGGATCCCCAGTCCACAGAAACTGCAATCACTTGTCCCCTTAAGCAGCTGTGCAGTACAGATGGCCAACGCAGGAGAGGAGCGGAGGCTAGAGGCTGATGGGTCAGCTGGAAGAGCAATTGTGGGCACATGAAAGTGTCAAAGTTCATCGTTCTTCATCCAGAGTTAGAGATCTGGAGCCAACAGTGAGTTAACGACCCCTGAGCTAACTCACAGACATTGAGTTCATTCCTCAATGACTGATAATTTCATCAATTTTGCCTACATAATGGAATCTCTGTAAACACCTTGTTTATTTAAGCCATACACGATATGAAATTATGACATCCTGGGAGCTGTGAAATCCTCCCGTTCTACCATCTCCTCTTATGACAGACTTGCAGCCTATGCCACCTGATCACGTTTCTACACAGGGACTAGACTGGACTCATCGTGGCCGGGCTCTGTCACACGGTGTGTGCTTCTCACTGATACAATCCTGGAGGAGCATCATTAAATACACTTGGTCCTGCTTGTGAGAGTCTAACTGCCATGGGGCCTCTGCTTCTTTTAATAACTCTGTGAGTCACTTCTCATTCTCCTGACAAGAAGCCTTTCTGCTGTAAAACAAAGGCTCCTCGGCAGAGCGTCTAAAGGCACCTGGCTCATTTGCAACAGCTATTATTTAAATGGTTTTATATTCCCCCAGAGGAGAGTTCCTTGGCAGGAAGCACAAATCGAGAAAACCATCATGCACGGCTTCCTTTTCTGGGAACTTGTGTAAGCAGGACACACACGCGAGGTACCTTTGCCACCCTCTGTGTGGCAGGAGGCAGGGCATCTCCGTCGACGTTGCCTAACTTGTAAACGTTAACTACCCGACCTCCCAGATCTCTAGGAGACCCCCAGAGGGCTCAGAAGGACATCAGACCATCGTTACCTTGTCACCTAGGTAGGAGGGAGGTGATGCCCAGGACGCACTGTGGACTGATGATGGCAGCTCCTGCAGATCTGCAACCATGCTGTTGCTGCCGGGGTTGAAGGACACAGGGACATCAACTCCATCTGCCGTCTCGAGACGCCAGCCCATCATGTCTATAAGCTAGAGCACAGTAATTGTGGCTTTTAGAGTGGTGGCTGCATCATCATCACTGAAAGACTCACACAATGACCACCTAGCTGCAAAACTTTCCTTTGTGTATCTTTTTAAAATGCTATCTATTAAACTCATGTAGTGTGGAGTTTATCAGTGAGTCATATCCCAGACCCAACCATCTCACCTTGAGTCTGCCCACACTGGGCATGGCAGAGCTGTCTCCTAACTCTGCTTCCCTTCTGACCCAGGGAGCATGGGACCACATATATGTGGGCTCTATCTTTGTATTTTACCACATGCCTTGGTTTCTGACATGTGGTGGTTATTTACTGGATGTTCAAATAATCAAAAAGTAAGTAGATGAATAATAACTTGTGGGCATCTTTACAAAGTGAAGTCAAAGGCTGGAGAAAGGGCTCAGTGGTTAAGAGCACTGTGATTCTTGCAGAGGACCCTGCTTTGGCTCCTAGCACCTGGTGACTCACAACAACCAGAACCACCAGTTCTGGGTATCAAATGCTTTTTCTGGCCTCTGAGGGCACCTGCACTCATATGGTATACATCCATACATGCAGGTACATGCACATATACATAGATGATAAATAAATAAATCTTTGAAAGATGAGATCCACATACAGAAGGATATAGGAGGAATTCAGGGGACCCTCCCCATCACAGAGGGGCAATTTCTTATGGATAGAGTCATGGAAAGGGGGAAGGGGAAGAGCAGACATCTTCAGTTGTGTAAGCACTGGTGGCTCCGTCAGGCTCCAATGAGGAATTACAATTCAGTGATCACATAGATGATCCTAGCAAACTAAATGGGTAACAAAATAAAACCAAGGGTCATTGACCCTGGAAAGGGACAGGAAGGAAGGAGAAGGGGTTGGTAGAGGCAGGAGGGAGGGTAGAGTGCTAGGGGAGGGAATAACCAGAATACATTCTGTACATGAAGAATTAACTTAGATTTTTAAAAGGTTTTTGACAACATTTTAAAAAATTAATTGGCAGCTGAGGACAGAGAACCTGAAATGACCCTATCCTATAGCCATACTGATGAATATCTTGCATATCACCATAGAACCTTCATCTGGAGATGGATGGAGATAGAGACAGAGATCCACACTGGAGCACCGGACTGAGCTCCCAATGTCCCAAGGAGGAGCAGAAGGAGGGAAAATATGAGCAAAGAAGTCAGGACCACGAGGGGTGCACCCACCC